GCATCTCCCATACAATGAGGGATGTTGAGCATTTTTTCTTTCATATGCTTTTGGGCTGTTTTTATGTCTTCCTTAGAGAGCTCAGCTCATTTTCCCATCTTTTAATTGTTTTGTTTGTTTGTTTTTAAGTAAGCGGCTTGAGTTTTCTGTGTATTGTGGTTATCAGTCCCTTATCTAAGGCATAGTTGACAAAAATATTCTCCCATTCGAGGGTTGTCTATTCACTCTAATTACTATGTCTTTTGTTGTGTGTGCAGAAACTTCTTAGTCTGATAGAATCCAACTTGTCTATTTTGGGGATTATTGCCTATGTTTGGGGGGTCTTATTTAAGAAGTCTTTTCCTATTTCATTGTCTCCCAGAGTTTCCCTGTGTTTTCCACCAGTAGTTTTATAGTTTGAGGTCTTAAGTTTTGATCTTTGACCCACTTTGAGGTGATTTTTGTTAATGGTGAGAGATAGGGGGTCCACATTCATCTTTCTGCAGGTGGTTACCCTGTTTTTTTCCAGGACCATTTGCTAAAGAGGTTTTCCGTTTACTAGATTGAGTGGTTATATATGTCAAAAATCAGTTGCCTGTGTGTTTTGGTGTTTATTTCTTGGGTTGCTTCTGTTCCATTGGGCCACATGTCTGTTTTTGTGCCGATACCTTGCTGTTTTGATCACAGCTTTAGAATATATTTTGGTGTCAGGGAGTGAGATGCCTCCTACTCCACTCTTCATGCGCAGGATTGCTTTGACAATATGGAGTCCTTTTTGATTCCAGACTAATTCTATGGTTGTCTTTTCTAGATCTGTGACTTTTCAAGAGTTTTTCAAACTGTTAACATATTGTCTATTTTCAGCATGTATGTCTAATTCTTAGTCAAAAGTATATGTATATGCAGTCATAGATTCTTTTCTGATAAAGTTTTAAGCCATAGATAGGATTATTTAATGCTTTTCTCTTTAGTAAATTTTATGAAAACCTTTTTTCTTTTTTATTAGCAACATTAGACAGTGAGTGAGGAGACCTGGGTACTTTTCCACCTTCACCAATAACTTCTGCTATTAAGCTCCTCGTCTGTCGAAGAGTATATTAAATATTGAAGAATGCATAAGTGAATAATATCTGGCTCCCATCCTCATAGCGTTTTCTCAGTGCTAAAACTAAGGTTATAGAGCAAAATAATCTCAAAGATAGCAGGTTGTGTGAAGGGTTTGTTTTTATAATGAAGATAATTTATTACAGTATTCAGTTTATAGAATACTTCTTGGATTCTATCTACAGAAGCACTGCAGAATAAGTAAGGTTGTAATTTTCCTTTTTCCTTTCCTCAGGCAAAGGCGCTGAGAGACTCACAGAGTTTAAACAATTATCTTAAAGCAAGTACTTAGAATACCCAAATTTGACCTCAAATTACAGATTTAGTTTTTGTTATGTGCCATCAGGATCAGAGCATGACAAATATACATACATGTAATTCATTTCCTCTCTGGATGGTGGCAGGCAGTATCTCAAGATGTGGCCTCCAGTTTAAGCTGACCGTGGCCTCCCCTCAATAGGTGGTCCTGGGCATTCCCGAGAGCTCTTTCATTTCTAGACCTTAGTCAGGCAGTTGGGGCTGACAACCAGCTTCATGCTTTCCCACCCAGGAACCAGTTAGAGTGACTCTAAGTAGCACCACACCTGGGCTTTCTCTTTCACTTTTTAACCCAAAACTGTGAACATACTTCCAAGCTATCAGAAAAATGTTTTTTTTTTCCTGGGAAACCCAATCAAATCTTCTCTAGACAGGCAAATCCAGTGTGTGCCTCTTAAATCCCAGACATGTCTCAGGCTCTGCTTATTGTTTATTTTAGCAAATACTGTTGAGCTCTTGTGTTATGACCAGCTGAGCTAGGTGCTGTAGACTAAAGCAGGTTTCTTAATGCCAAAAGGAGCATTGCAGATGACAGGTGCCTGGCTCAGGGTTTTGTGGGCTGGACTGAATGATAGAATTTGCGTTTACCTTAATTTCAGTAATTGCTGTGAGCGAAAATGTAGATTTTTATTCTCAGGGTTTGAAATAGTATGTTAGTTTAGGGTTTTCAGAAATTAGATAATCCTAAACTTTTCTTTTTATGAACAGCCAATTCTATTATAGTTTGTTTTTACATAAGTATAGTTTCTCTTTCTATTTTAGAACAATCCTTAAATTACCATCCATGAAAGAAGAAAAATTACTTAGGTAAATTGCTTAATTTTAATGAATGAAATGAAATGATACTCAATATTTATTTTGCCTTTCTTGTGTTTTTCAGGGGTAAAAGCATGCCTACAAACAAAAGTGTGTGAACAAGAAGAAAGATTGTCCACTTTCTATCAAATGTCAGGATCTTGTTTTGTTTTATACTTGAGCAGTGTTCCATAGAATATATGTGCTACACCTTTTCAATCCATTCATCTTTTGTGGACATTTGGTTGATTCCATGTGTTAGCAATTGTGAATAATGCCGCAGTAAACATAGATGTGCAAGCACTTTTCTGACTAAGCATCTTATTCTTTGGGTAGATTTTTTTTGTAGGTCTTTGAGGAACCTCCGTATTGTTCTTCAAAATGGCTGGACCCATTTACATTCCCACCAACAGTGTAAGAGAATTCCCTTTTCACCTCAGTCTTGCCAGCACTTAACTTTTATTTTTTTAATTTTAGCCTTTCTGCTGGGTTAGGTGGTATCTCATTTTGAATTTGATTTGCATCTCCCATACAATGAGGGATGTTGAGCATTTTTTCTTTCATATGCTTTTGGGCTGTTTTTATGTCTTCCTTAGAGAGCTCAGCTCATTTTCCCATCTTTTAATTGTTTTGTTTGTTTGTTTTTAAGTAAGCGGCTTGAGTTTTCTGTGTATTGTGGTTATCAGTCCCTTATCTAAGGCATAGTTGACAAAAATATTCTCCCATTCGAGGGTTGTCTATTCACTCTAATTACTATGTCTTTTGTTGTGTGTGCAGAAACTTCTTAGTCTGATAGAATCCAACTTGTCTATTTTGGGGATTATTGCCTATGTTTGGGGGGTCTTATTTAAGAAGTCTTTTCCTATTTCATTGTCTCCCAGAGTTTCCCTGTGTTTTCCACCAGTAGTTTTATAGTTTGAGGTCTTAAGTTTTGATCTTTGACCCACTTTGAGGTGATTTTTGTTAATGGTGAGAGATAGGGGGTCCACATTCATCTTTCTGCAGGTGGTTACCCTGTTTTTTTCCAGGACCATTTGCTAAAGAGGTTTTCCGTTTACTAGATTGAGTGGTTATATATGTCAAAAATCAGTTGCCTGTGTGTTTTGGTGTTTATTTCTTGGGTTGCTTCTGTTCCATTGGGCCACATGTCTGTTTTTGTGCCGATACCTTGCTGTTTTGATCACAGCTTTAGAATATATTTTGGTGTCAGGGAGTGAGATGCCTCCTACTCCACTCTTCATGCGCAGGATTGCTTTGACAATATGGAGTCCTTTTTGATTCCAGACTAATTCTATGGTTGTCTTTTCTAGATCTGTGACTTTTCAAGAGTTTTTCAAACTGTTAACATATTGTCTATTTTCAGCATGTATGTCTAATTCTTAGTCAAAAGTATATGTATATGCAGTCATAGATTCTTTTCTGATAAAGTTTTAAGCCATAGATAGGATTATTTAATGCTTTTCTCTTTAGTAAATTTTATGAAAACCTTTTTTCTTTTTTATTAGCAACATTAGACAGTGAGTGAGGAGACCTGGGTACTTTTCCACCTTCACCAATAACTTCTGCTATTAAGCTCCTCGTCTGTCGAAGAGTATATTAAATATTGAAGAATGCATAAGTGAATAATATCTGGCTCCCATCCTCATAGCGTTTTCTCAGTGCTAAAACTAAGGTTATAGAGCAAAATAATCTCAAAGATAGCAGGTTGTGTGAAGGGTTTGTTTTTATAATGAAGATAATTTATTACAGTATTCAGTTTATAGAATACTTCTTGGATTCTATCTACAGAAGCACTGCAGAATAAGTAAGGTTGTAATTTTCCTTTTTCCTTTCCTCAGGCAAAGGCGCTGAGAGACTCACAGAGTTTAAACAATTATCTTAAAGCAAGTACTTAGAATACCCAAATTTGACCTCAAATTACAGATTTAGTTTTTGTTATGTGCCATCAGGATCAGAGCATGACAAATATACATACATGTAATTCATTTCCTCTCTGGATGGTGGCAGGCAGTATCTCAAGATGTGGCCTCCAGTTTAAGCTGACCGTGGCCTCCCCTCAATAGGTGGTCCTGGGCATTCCCGAGAGCTCTTTCATTTCTAGACCTTAGTCAGGCAGTTGGGGCTGACAACCAGCTTCATGCTTTCCCACCCAGGAACCAGTTAGTAGAGTGACTCTAAGTAGCACCACACCTGGGCTTTCTCTTTCACTTTTTAACCCAAAACTGTGAACATACTTCCAAGCTATCAGAAAAATGTTTTTTTTTTCCTGGGAAACCCAATCAAATCTTCTCTAGACAGGCAAATCCAGTGTGTGCCTCTTAAATCCCAGACATGTCTCAGGCTCTGCTTATTGTTTATTTTAGCAAATACTGTTGAGCTCTTGTGTTATGACCAGCTGAGCTAGGTGCTGTAGACTAAAGCAGGTTTCTTAATGCCAAAAGGAGCATTGCAGATGACAGGTGCCTGGCTCAGGGTTTTGTGGGCTGGACTGAATGATAGAATTTGCGTTTACCTTAATTTCAGTAATTGCTGTGAGCGAAAATGTAGATTTTTATTCTCAGGGTTTGAAATAGTATGTTAGTTTAGGGTTTTCAGAAATTAGATAATCCTAAACTTTTCTTTTTATGAACAGCCAATTCTATTATAGTTTGTTTTTACATAAGTATAGTTTCTCTTTCTATTTTAGAACAATCCTTAAATTACCATCCATGAAAGAAGAAAAATTACTTAGGTAAATTGCTTAATTTTAATGAATGAAATGAAATGATACTCAATATTTATTTTGCCTTTCTTGTGTTTTTCAGGGGTAAAAGCATGCCTACAAACAAAAGTGTGTGAACAAGAAGAAAGATATGAAATTCTTAAAGGTTCACAGAGAAGCAGGCTCAACAGAGAACAGCTGGTATTTTTCTTTTGCTACATTCTCATTGTTCGTATTATGACTTAATATTATCATCACCATCAGGAAAAACTTCTTCTGCCCTTTCCACAAGTACAGGTGACTGATTAAAATTTTAATTGTGCTTATTTCAAGCACTTGATTCTGAAAGATGATCACGATGAGCAGTAAAATCCAGAAGGTAATAATTTCTTACCGTTAATGGATTTTTGGCATCTTGAACATTCTCATAAACCTTTCAGAATCTGAGGTAAATCTTGGATACAGGAAGTAGCTTGAAAGAAGACTTACAGCTGCTTCTTGGATTTAGTTACCATATGTCTTTATTGTTGCATATTGCAGTTTTAATGGACAATATTCCATTACCCTGTTGATATATATAAGTATAGAAGAAATGACAAAGAAAAATTTTCTTAGAAGGGAATTGTGAAATTTTGTTTCCATAAAGCATGCAGAAGTGTGTTGCATAGGTAATTGGAGCCCTAGATGTGGCTCCCTAACACACTGTGTTCACTGAATACATTTCTGGAACCCTAGAGGTCACATCCTACCATGGCTGCCCTGACACTGTGGGTGGGAATTGTGTTAGGGACCTGACTACAGATTGGCAGAACTGGAAGAAGATCCATGAAAAAGTTATCTTGTGGTTTCAATCATTTGTACCTGGTCTCCCTCAAGCTTATTTCTGATACCCTAGGAATTCTTTGGGCTTTAAGTCCCACCAAATACGCATAAACATTCTAATGAAAGTTGGTGACCAAACCTTAAGGAAAAAATGTTAAATAGGAAACCCTTGATTTGTTCTTTTTTCTTTTTTTTCTTTTACTTCTTTTTACATTTTTCCACAAACATTTATTTTACATATCAAAAAGTTTGCTCATACTTCATAGTTCTTAACAGTTAATAAACAACTTTCAAAATGTGAAAATGCTGAATTTAAAGATAATGTTCAAAATATTTCTTATAATTTTGTATAATTTTGTTTGTGACTCCATGACAACAGAGACAGTATGGTGATATTATTTTTTGAGAAAATATTTATATGTCAGCTACTCAAATTGCTGAAAAGCAAATACCCAGCATAAACCTTCTCAATTCAATTCAGCCCTGCCTACCAAGTATTCTGCAAAGTATTCTTTTTTTTCTTCCTTCAACGTCTTTCTCAAGAGAATCCTCTGGTGTGGTTGCTGTTTTACAATCTCTACTGATTACAATGCTGGGCTGGAAAAGTCCAGGTTATTTTATGTTATAAATTCTTTTGTATATCTTCTCTCATCCTCTCTGCCAGGCAGAACTATTTATGGTGCCAAGCCATCTTTCTAAGAGCTTCTGTTGGCTTACTTGAGATCCACCTTAGTTCCATAGTTTCTTGATTAATCTTCAGATATGACATTCCAGTCAAAGCCCTGTCCAATAATGAGTATTTTCAATTTCTGATTCAATTCAATAAGCATTATTGAACTTACACAAATAACCCTTCTGCCATAAAATAAGAAAACTCCCAAATATTTTCCAATTCCAGAGGGGTCAGGAAAGAAGAAAAGTTTTTTTTCCATTTAAAGAACAAACAAGGAAAATATTTTAACAAATTGCTGAACCTATCAGCAGCTCAAAAGAAAGTAAAATGCTTAAATTGGGAAAACAAAGCATAGTAAAAAAAATCAATAATATTTTACTCAAGTCATAAAATTCTATTTCGCCAGTTTAATCTTATGTTCAAACTCTCTTCTGTTGACTATGCGGTGTTACTGTGGTCCAATCTTTCTATTTAAATCCTGGAAGGTAACATTCAATGTTACTATTGATGTTTGTTATTCCTGGCATTAAATTGGTCATTTCCTGGTTGCCTTTTATTCTCTTATTTTTTTATGTGTCTTTAGTTTTCCTGGTAGAGCACTCCATTCAGAACTTCTTGAAGAGTGTGTCTGCTATTGGCAAATTCTTTCAGTTCCTGTTTATCTGAGAATGTTTTTATCTTTTCTTTCCACATGAAGGATAATCTTGCCAGGTATAGTATTCTTGGTTGAAACTGTATTTCACTTAACACTTTGAATATATTTTCCTATTCTTTCCTTGCTCACATTGTTTCTAATGAGAGGTCAGAGGTTAGCCTGATTGTAGTTTATAAGTAACCTGAAGTTTCTCTCATGCCAATTTTAGTATCTTTTCTTTGTAGATTTGGCCAATCTGGCTGTGATGTGCCTTGGAGAAGATCTTGGGTTGATTCTGTTAGGAGTCCTTTGTATTTCTTGGGTCTGGATATTTGAATGCCTCTCTAGATTTGGAAAGTTTTCTTCTAAGATTTCATGGAATAGATTATCAATGCCCTTATTAGTTTCCTCACCTTCTGGGACCAATTATCTGGATGCTTGGGTGCTGTCTAGTATTTCTCGTATGGTATTCTCATTTTTTTTTTCCTCAGTTTTTTTTGGTTGTTTTTTCTAGATCAGAGGTTTTCCTTCCACATCCAAGATTCGGTTTTCTGCATGAACTAATATGCTTTTAACACTTTCAAGGGAGGTTTTGATTTCCTGAATGGCAACCTTCATCTCTAATAGCTCCATTTGATTCTTTTTTATGGTGTGTATTTCCTCTTTCAGATCATGGAAGAATTTCAACACATACTGGAACTCGTCTTTTTTCTCCTGCATCTTCTGAAGTTCATTGTCTCTCAGCTCTTGCATCTCATTTAGTTCTGTCAGTTTTGTCAGTATGAATATTCTGAATTCTCTGTCAGACATTTCCATGAGTTCTGCTGTATTATCTGTGGATGGAGAGGGATTGTTCTTTTCCCTTAGAGGAGAGATATTTTCTTGGTTTCTTATGTTTCTTGTGCCTCTGTGGTGGTTTCTGGTCATTCTGGGACAAAATCTCTCCTCCACTGTGCTTCACAAAGTAGTATCGTGTCTGAATATTTTGGGAGTCTAGGAGATGAAGTTTAGATCATAGCTTCCCTGAACAAGCCAGGGCACACCTCAGCTTGAAATGGCTTTGTGTCTGAATATTTTGGGAGCCTAGGAGATGGAGTTTAGAGCATAGCTTTCCTCTCTTCTTCTTTTTTTAGTTTTAAGAGGTTTTTTTACCTAGGACATATGTATTTTCCAGGGAGAGACAGAGAGACAGAGACAAAATAAGTAAATCATCCCCCAGGGAATGGCCACACTGCAATTCCTTCTTCTACTGGGATCTTATGCACACACACACACACACACACACACACACACACACCACTTGTCTTTCAAGCTACCAGGTCCTTGACTGGAACCTTGGTTGGCCATATGCAAGTCCAGTGATATCAGTGCTATGCCATCTACTGGCCGCAAGTATTTTTCTTGATCTAGTTAATTTGGTTGAAATATAATTTGTCCCAGCATCTCATTATGTAGCTGCTGCTGCTGCTGCTGCTTTTTTTTTCTTTTTTAATAGAGATATTTTACAGTATGGCACATGCACTCTCCAGAGAGAAAAAAGCAAGAAATCATCCTCCCAGGGGGATGACCACTCCACAGTCCTTTCTCCATTCTCTTTTTGAGATATGGGCACTCATGCACATACACCCGGCATGAGTTTCAAGCCTCCAGTTCTGGGATTCAATCTGCAGTTGACTTCATGGGAGTCCATCGACATAACCATTACACTCTCTGCTGGTTCCAAGTAGCTTCTTAACTACTCATTACTATTACTTTTATTACCCTCATTCATATGCATGTGTCAATCTGCAGTTGACTTCATGGGAGTCCATCGACATAACCATTACACTCTCTGCTGGTTCCAAGTAGCTTAACTACTCATTACTATTACTTTTATTATCCTCATTCATATGTATGTGTTTTTAAATATGTTCACCTACTTTTAACACTTTTGTTTTGTTATTTCAGTTGCCAAAGCTGTTTGATGGCTGCTACTTCTATTTTGGGGGAACATTCAAACACCATCCGAAGGACAACCTTATTAAGCTTGTCGCTGCAGCTGGCGGCCAAGTCCTCAGCAGAAAACCCAAGCCAGACAGTGACGTGACTCAGACCATCAATACAGTCGCGTACCATGCCAAACCCGACTCTGATCAGCGCTTCTGCACACAGTATATCATCTATGAGGATTTTTCTAATTACCGCCCAGAGAGGGTTCGGCAGGGCAAAGTCTGGATGGCTCCTTCAAGCTGGTTTATAGACTGTGTGATGTCCTTTGAGTTGCTCCCTCTTGACAGCTGAATATTATACTAGATGAACCTTTCTCATTGAACTTGCACTGTTTATCAGAACCCAGCCATTGTGCTGTTTTTCATTATTTACATATTCATAAATAGGTAGAGTAATTCATTTTTATTTCCTTTGAATTAAAAAAAATATGCCAGACTAGAGATTTACTTTGTTTACCATTTAGATGCTGGGGTTACTTCTAACAATCTTTCTGTTTAAAAACTGGCATATATTTTTTAATCATCATGGTTTTCTGCTCAAATTAGTAGCTATCAGAGATTAATGAGATGGTATCAAAACTATTGGGTAAATATACAAATGGTATCATTATCGCTTCAGCCTTTTAATGTTCTTTGATGAAAAAATTCTACACCTGCCACCAGCAAAATAATTGCCATTCTTTAATAAATAGAGAATAAAATAATTTACTTCTAACTTATTATAATGAAAAGAGAGTACCTGGTTTAAATGTGCTACCTTGGTGTTAAATTCTTTTATCTACAGTTGTCTTTATTTTACACTGTGTTTATTTAGTTTTTTATCATTTACTTGGGTCTCTGATTTACATTTTTTTCCCTATTTTTAATCTGCTATATTAGGAAATCATGATTTCAACCTTAACTACTAATTTTTAGTGGTAAAAATCAACATTAAGGTCATGGTACATATTATATACATTTGTTTGTTTGTTGTTAACTGTCAATTAACCTACTGTCTGTGTTTACTATACACACACACACACACTTAAAGCATTTTTATCTAACACATTTAGGTATCAGTATTTCTTCACAGGTCTTGCCAGACTAGAAACCTGCAAATGCCAATATATTTGATTAAGAATGAGTCTTTTGGGGCCAGCAAATGGCATGGTGGTTAAGGCACTAGATTCCCACATTGCTGACCGCAGTTTTAGTCCTGAACTTGGTGGCTTGCTTTCTCACTTTGTTTCTCCCTTCCCCTCCCCCCACTCTTCTGGTTAGTTAAAAAATAATAATAATAATAAATAAAATTAAATAAATAATTCTTTTTTTTTTAAATAAAATTATTCTTTTTCTGAAAGACCTTTCTAAGGTTGCCTAAGTGATTGTTCTGAAGCTCTTAATTTCTTCTTTTGTAAAATATTTTACATTTTTAGGTTGACATGGAGACCAAAGTTGGAGATTACTTGATTTAGAACACTTTAATTTTTTTCCAGATTATACAAAAGACCATGACAGTAAGAGTTTAGGCAGGAGTAGGAAGGGCCTACCCTTAGTGCCATAACAGTTAAGGCCATTCACAGTAGACAGGACACTACTTGAGAATGGCCAGATCTAGGGAGGTTGCTTTGGTCTGTGAATCAACATAGATTAGATCATTTTAAAACATTGTTTAGGAAGCAGAATTCTTTGATTGGTCTTCCCTAGAATTGAATGTACTTATGCTGTGAAGGGCTTGGGGAAGGAGACACTGTGAGATTTGCCAGTTTGGTCTCACATGAGCCAAGCATAAGGATAACACTAGAATAAAATACTCCTAATTTTAAAATGCTAAAGGTTGGCGAAGTTAATCAACATTTTATTTATTTATTTATGTTTTTTTTTAGAGAGTTTTCTTGCTACAGGGTGTGCACACTCACCAGAGGTACAGAAAGAGACAGAAAGATAGCAAGAAAGACCTACTCCCTGGGTAGATGGACATGCCGCTATCCCTTCTCCTCCATTCTCCTCTTGGGATTTTGGGCACACATTCACATGTGTCCGGCATGAATTTCAAGTCTCTGGGTCCAGGACTTGAACTTCTGTTGGCCATTTGGGAGTCTAGTGATGTAACTATTACACCATCTACTGGTCCCTGTTAATCACATTTTAAGACCCACTTATTTGAAAGTTCAATCATTTTATTATTTTAACTCCTCCTTTGGTGTCTGAACTTTTCCATGTCAAAAAATAACATATGTAACCAAACTAATATTCTTGTGAACCTGACCAGGGTCAATTTGCTCTGAAGCACTCTTCTGCAACCACATAGATGTCTCCACACATGCCACAGCACCAAACAAATCTGAGGGTGAGATTATGTCTGGATTAAATAATTTAGTACTCTTGAGATTTAGCTTGCTTTTTTTTTTTTAATTTATAACTGACTTTAAGTTATTTTCTATTGCCTCTATGTTACATTCCTAGACTGGTTTATATCTGTTCTTGCATCTGGATTCCTATTTCTAAAAACACCTTTGGGATATCCCATTCACTTTCCTTTGCTAATTTTCTTGGTTTATGCATCTTCGTTGTGGTCCCCCCCACTCACACACACACACTCTTAAGCGGTTTTATTTACTTTTTGTTTTATTATTATAATAATTGGAGAGGTTTTTGCCATAGGGCACGTGCACTTGCCAGAAAGACAAGCGAGAGACAGAAAGCGAAAAGTCACCCTCGGGGGGGGGGGATGGCCACGCCACAATCCCTTCTCCATTCTCCTCTTGGGATCTTGGGCATGCACACACATGCGCCCAGCATGAATTTAAGTCTCTGGGTTCGGGACTTGAACCTATTACATGGTAGTCCAGCGACATAGCCATTACGCCAACTGCTAATCCAAGTTTTATTTTTTTAAGTTACTTATTTTGTCAGATTTGTTTTACCTAAGCTTTTGAAACTTGTGATTGTACTTTCTGTGTACATATACTTGTAATTATTTTTGTTTTTCAATCATAGATTCAAGCTTCCTTTTTATGTACCATATATCATAGCTTTTCATGTTTCTTTCCATATCCTCTGTAAAAATGACTTACACCGTGTATTGAAGAGATTCAACTTGACTGAAATCTTTCAGCTAACACAAGCCTCTTACAGAAAATTAACGAATTTTAATTTTGAACAGATACATTTTTAGAGTATACTAGATACTTTAGTACCTAAATAAATTGTTCTGAATACAAGGCACTTTAATAATTTGGTATCTTCATTAAAGGGGTCAATTACATGGTGATTGCTTTGTGGTTCTATTACTGTCACAGGTTTACTGACTTTCCCACATTCTTTCATATAGCCATTTTATAGTTCTGCTTGCCTGCATTTTTAGCCTTTTCTTTTTGTTTTTGCTATAGGGCACATGTTGTCATCAGAGACAGAGACGGAGAGCAAGAAAGTGGGAAAGCATCTCCAGGAGGGTAGCCACACCGCAGTCCCTTCTTCATTCTGCTGTTCAGGTCTTGAGCACGTTCCCACATGTGCCCAACATTGTTTTAAAGCCACAGGGTCCAGGACTGACCCTGTGGGATCCAGCTGTCTTAACCATCACACCACATGCTGGCCCACTCTTTTATTTTTTTTTTTTTCCAAAAAACTTTCCTTTTTTTTATGCTAGCACATGTGCATGTGCAAGAGAGAGGGAGGGATATAGGGCATCCTTACACATCACAGCCCCATCCCACTAGCCGTCCAGCTCATCAGGGTCTTGGGCACATGTGTACATGCCCAGCGTATTTCAGGTTGACCCGGGCAGGGGATGCAAACCATTGCTCAGCCATGGAGCCTCCCAACACTGCAGTTCAGTACCCAACTGATGGTACCACTCAGAGGGGCCCAAACTCTCCCTTTTTCCCTTGTTAGCTGCTACTTTGTAGCTGTTTCTCTCTCTCTGCAAATACTTCACCATATCTAATTTGGTCATTTTTTTCTTTTGACTTGCTGGGACAGGAAGCCAGATAGGAAATATGTATGGGATTTGACTGAAACAAGAAATGAACAATGTGCTAGGAGTTCAGTGATTTACCTAAGAGTCAGATGCTTGAATTTTTCTTTGTTTTATTTATATTTTAGAGATTTTTGCCTTCAGGCACATGTCCCTCAGGAGAGACAGAGAGGGGAAATAAAAAGTCTTCCTCCGCCCCCCCGCAGGGGGATGTCCACACTCTCTTGTCTTCATTGTCCTGGGATTTTGGGTATGTATGCACATAACCAGTGTGATTTCAAGTTCCCAGGTCTGGGACTTGAACCACCACAGTTGGCCATTTGGAAGACCAGTGCTTTACCCACTGCGCCACCTGCTGCTCTCAGATGTTTGAATTTTGATAGAATTTGTCACTTTGTCTATCACAATTTTACTTATTTCACATTTCATTTGAGCCGGTTTTGTGAATTTGATAGTTGACCTATGCATAGTTGAAGAATATGTTTTAGGAGGCATGGTGTTTCTTTTGGAAATAAGATTCAGGGATAACATCACATTGTTCTCGCTGCCAAAGATCCGTGCAGAAGCGCTAATAGTGTCTAATGGTTTGTTTTAGTCACCAGTGTCTTACTCTGCTCTCAAAACAACACAGAACAGTAAAATGTCAAGAAATAAGGCTTATTTAGTCATTGAAAGCCACTCTTTGAAGATGGATTGAATTACAATTCGTGAACTTAAATGTTTGACTGTCATTCAGCCATTTCAAAGATTCACATCAAACTACCTGATAAATGAAGACTGAGCAGTTAAGAGTTCTCATTTTTTAAAATAAACTAAACAGTCTCAGGTCTAGCTAAGTAAATTGTACACTGTCTTATGAAGTAGGGATTGCTGATTATTGGTGTGAGTTTCTGAGGTTCAGGGTGCACTTTTTGATACTTGTAACTTTGCATTAGAATGGGAATGTGGGCAGTGGGGGAGAAAGCTCTAGACTGTCCTGGCCTTGGCTTGGCTTAAAGGGTTAATGACGAACAACCCGGCCCCAGAGGAAAATCGTGCACAGCTGTTGAAGTCAGTCAGACCTGGATTTGTTTACCAAGTCTTTAATAGTATATCTAACCTGTATCTTCCTTTATAAAGAAAGAAAGTCCGGTCCATCCCACATAAAGATGTAAAGCTGTACAAAAGCACTGAGCACACAAGGCATTCACAGGTTCACCTTCCAGGATTACTGTGAGCAGGTCGGTTCAGACGTGTTTCCAAAGTGGCTTATGACGGTGACTTGTAGTAGCAACAGCTCTGCCCTGCCCAGTCCTGATTGCTGTCTCCCCCAACCCCACATCATCTGCTGGCTTTTCACTTGTCCTTGCTTTTTAAGACTTGCTATCAGTCTTAACAGCAAGCAGACCTCAGCTTGTCTGGTTAATTTCTTCTCTCTGACTTCTCCCCATGCCATCTGCACTGATGAAGTTTGCCTATCGATGTAGCCTCAACACAAGTTCTGCTCAGTGGTTTTTTTTTTTTTTTTTTTTTTTTTTTTTTGTTCGG